GGAGTTTGAAATTTCCTAAGAGGCGCTCCTTCCCGCTCTGTGAAAGCCCTAAAAATTTCGAACAAGGAAGGAGGTTAAAATGTCAACCAAACCGGTCCAGCTTTCTGGTTCAACGATTCCATTCTCCTTTACTTTATTCAGATTTTTTTAACATAAATATAAGAAAAATACACGAACTATAATATTTTTGTAAGGAAAATATACTAATTTTTAGGTTTTTAAAATAAAAAACATGTAGCTATTTGAAATACATTAATTATATAATAATTGCTTTAATATATATGTATGTATATACAAAAACTATTTCATTTAAATTGCTTTAATATATATACAAAAACTATTACATTTTTTTATTAATACGCATACTAACAAACCGTAGAAATTTGACACCCGTATTATGACGAATATTTGTTGGCATGCGAACAAAGATAACATAATATATGTCTTTTTAATGAGCGGTGTATTTTTTTTGTTAGAACATTATCTTTTTCATTAATATTACAAAGTGAAAAAAGAGAATGTGATTCTCGTGGAGAACTTGTACAAGATAATCCATAACATAAAACAAAGATACAAAGAATATGATGGAATAGATGTTTCTTTTGTTTTGTCAATCAATCTGCTGCCTTATTGCAATATCCATCGAAGTTGGACTGATTCAAACTTATAACTCCATAATTTGACATCACGAATTCAATTATGAACTATGAAGTTCCTGATTTTGTAGTGAGTATATCATGTTTTGTTATCACCACTCTATTTTCTTTACTTAAAAACAAAAAAAAATATTTTTCAGTTTTGACTTTTTTAAAATTTGTCCCCCCCCCCAAGTTATCGCTAAAACCTGAAGGCATAGTTTAATAGTACCATCGGATAGCGTCTCCAACTAACTCACCCTTCCAAACGTAATACCTGAGGTAATGAGAAAAATTCATACCTCTCCTCACTTTGTGGCTTACAAAACCCTGAAATGTAAGCAAATGACAGTTTATATGACGATCACTTTCGGTCAAACTGCTTTCAACAAATATCATACATTGTAATAGGGCGTTTTCCATTCATTTGCTTTAACGCCCAAAACTTTTCGCCAATTTTCAAACTCATCCAATGAGTTGAAAATTTTGACTTCTTTATTGAGTTTAACTTAAATACCAAAGTCATTTTATCATTTTGTATGGTATTTGCTATGTATCACAAATATAAGAAGTTAACTTACCCTTACAAGGACGTCATAAACCAACTATAAAAGTTATTAAATTCAAATAAGTTTTATTTATTGTAGTTAAGCTTAATTTATTAC